ATTTAGTTCAACTGATGCTGCAATCAGCAGTGTGTACTGTGCATAAATACCCTCAGTCACTAAGTTCGCTTTCTTTCGTTTTAGTTCAGATCGGTAGGCTTTGTTATCTAGATGTGGTATTATGTCTATCACAATTTTTCTTTCCAGTTCTCTATTCAGTTTATACGCCTCGAATTATATTGTTATATATTTTAAGAAAACATGAGTTAGCAAAGAGATCTCTTTTCGTAATTTCACTTCAAAGTTGTACGGTTAGTTAGGGGATTTATATATGCAATGTAGATTGACAACAGAGGTGAAAGGTTATTGCTGGTATTTTTATAAACAGCTGAAAAAATGCAAAATAATTTCTAACTAGAAGATAATTATATGACTCTTTTTGTAATATCTCAAGGATACACAGACTAAAGTTGCAACTAGGACAGAAATGACATGTTCACTCTCATCATAAGGTGTTTATAGCTATTGGACAGCATCAATCGAACCATAGGTTTGCACCTATTCATATTATTCTTTTTGAAAATATGATAAAAACCATTGATTCACGTCCATCTTCTCGGAAATCAAATAAAATGTAAGGGATTCAGCCGAGATAATTATTTCTCTATTCCTTTGCCTTTCGAGTGGAGCATACAGCTTCAATCTTGAGTTTTCTAAAGTTTCAGTAGCAATGGTGTATATTATTTTACGGAGTGGGGTTGCTGGCCTCACACTCCACCTTCCCTCTTTAGCTAGTTTACTGCCGACTAAGCAAAGCTTAGGAGTGCATCGGTCGGGGATCGACTACCAGACCACGTGTGTGACTGGTGTGTATTCAACCACCAAACCATCGGCAATCAGTCTATATATACAGACACTGAAATATTCTGTTCTATACGTTCGATGTTTAGATCACTCTGATCAAGCTGACGGAAGCTGATCATAGGCGTCTGTGTGTGTATGTATTTGTGTAGTAAACAACTTCTATTAATGATAATAATACTTACTCCTTTCACATTTTAAATTCCATTTCGCATTTTAGAAATACGTGCAAATGAGCAATATTGACTCGTCCAGTATACCTGAAAACAGTATAAACATTTACAAAGCCACAGCCTATCTCTCTTTACAGTTACAATATTGATAACAATGAGAGGAAAAACAATGAAGCACAAAAGTCACATATCATTATGAAAATCTATTTTTTGATTTTTGTATTATGCAAAATGATATTGTCTTTTGTCATTATTTTGATTGACTTGTGATTATTTTCCCTTAAAATTTGGTGGTTGAGCAGTGCTCATTCTACTTACTTCTATTCTCACTTATCTCTACATAATATCATATTTAACGGTGCATTGAACTGAGTTATTTTTGTCTCACTTTTGTGCAATTGGTAATAGTAATAATATTACTCATTAACTATGTGTGTCCTTAACCTCGCCTAGATTACTAGGTCACTAGTATTCTAGCCGGTCCCAAGCCCGGATAATGAGGGAGGGTTGGGGCGTGGTGCTAGCAACTCCACCACCAAAACTTAACCAAATTGCTACTAAAACTTCAACGCACAAATATATTCAAAATTCTAAAAACACAAACAATAACCTTGTTTTTCGCTGGAATCGGGAAAGTGAAATGACGCAGACTGGTGAAAGCCTTCGGGAAGCCAGTCAGCCGGTGTGCCTTCTTTCGATGAAAGCAAAAATAAGGATGGGGACGTGGAATATTCGTACAATGTACGGAACTGGAAAGGCTGCCCAGGTAGCCGCAGAAATGAGGAGATATAAAATAGAAGTGCTGGGAATCTGCGAGAGCAGATGGAACGGATGCGGAAGGTGCCAACTACCAACTGGAGAGACAATAATCTACTCCGGTCACCCAGAAGACAATCACGAGCACACCGAGGGAGTAGCCATCATGATGTCACGAACAGCGGCTAAAGCTCTCATGCAGTGGGAACCAATCTCCTCCAGGATAATGACAGCCAGGTTCAACTCAAAAGGAAAAAAGGTTACAATCATTCATTGCTACGCGCCTACAAACGCCTCAGAACATGAGAAGAAGGAGGATTTCTACAGTCAACTACAAATAGTAATGGACAACGTCCCAAAGAGCGATATCAAAATCCTGATGGGCGACATGAATGCGAAACTGGGAGGAGACAATACAGGAAGAGAACTCACCATGGGTCGTGAGGCCCTCGGTGAAATGAACGACAATGGTGAACTCTTCTCAGACTTCTGCGCCTTCAATGATTTGGTGATTGGTGGCAGTGTGTTCAAACACAGGGATATACACAAGGCAACATGGATTTCACCAGATGGACACACCAAAAACCAGATAGACTTCATTTCAATCTCAAGGAAGTGGAGACGGAGCCTACTGGACACAAGATCGAGGAGAGGAGCAGATGTGGGTTCAGACCACTATCTAGTACAAGGGACTTTCAAGGTGAAGCTAAAAGCCTCGAGGAAAGCTGGGGATAGGCCACAATGCAAGTTCAACACTCACAAACTGAAGGACACAATCACACAGGACATTTTCACTGCAACTGTCAGAGCAAAGCAGGAAACACTACGTGGCACCACTGAGGAATCATCCGTGGAAGACCATTGGAACTCTCTGAAGGTGATTTTCAACGAAACGTGTTCAACGGTTTTAGGAAGAAAGAAGAAACAAGACAAGGAATGGCTCTCAACGGACACTTGGAAACTAATAGAGGAGAGGAGAAAAGTGAAAGAGAAAATGATTCAATGCAAAGATGGACAAGAGAAAGAGACGCTGAACTCAACTTACACAGCACTGGACAAAGAAGTGAAGAAGAGTGCCAGGAAGGACAAAAGACAATTCTACGACAACCTGGCTACTGAAGCTGAGAAGGCAGCAGGCAAAAGGGACCTGAGGACACTATATCAGATAACCAAGTCTCTATCCGGGAAGAGATCAACACAAGTGAAACCTATAAAAGACAGCCAAGGGAACCCAATTACCAAAGAAGAAAGACAGATTAAACAATGGGCGGACCACTTCAAAGGACTCTTGAACCGACCACCACCTACAACCCGTCCAGAAATACCAACAACAGCACGTACACAACTGCAAGTTGACACCAATCCTCCAACGAAAACTGAAGTCATGAATGCAATCAAGCTTCTGAAAGCTGGAAAAGCAGCTGGACCAGATGGAATACCCCCGGAAGCACTGAAAGCGGACCCAGAAACGACAGCAGATATGCTGACTCCATTATTGCAAAAGATCTGGAAAGAGGGAAAGGTGCCTACTGACTGGAGGAAAGGTTACCTGGTGAAACTACCAAAGAAGGGCGACCTGGGACTCTGCAAGAACTGGCAAGGAATCATGCTCCTGTCGACGCCAAGTAAAATCCTGAGTCGCATCATCCTGGAGAGAATAAAGGACGCACTGGATACAGAACTCCGACCAGAACAAGCTGGATTCAGGAAAGGCAAATCATGTTCTGACCAAATTGCAACTCTACGCATCATCATCGAACAAAGCATGGAATGGCAATCAAATCTCTACCTCAACTTCATAGACTTTGAGAAGGCCTTCGACAGCGTTGACCGCGAAGTAATTTGGAAACTACTCGAGTACTACGGCGTACCCCAAATATTCATCAACCTTATTCAACAACTGTACGACAACGGCACATGTCAAGTGATCCACAACGGAAAACTCAGCGAAGCGTTTGGAGTAAACACAGGAGTCAGACAAGGGTGCTTATTATCACCAATGATATTCCTAATTGTGGTGGACTGGATTATGCGTCAGACAGTGAGAAACGAGAAGACAGGGATATCCTGGACCGACGTGAAGAACCTAGAAGACCTGGATTTTGCGGATGATTTATGTTTGATGTCACACAAAATCGAAGACTTACAAGCAAAAACCGACAAACTGGTCGAAGAAGCAGAAAAGACAGGACTCCAGGTGAACATAGACAAGACGGAGGTTATGAAAATAACCAACCAACAACAGCAGCAACATCCAGTGCCAATCACCATCAACGGGAGGGATTTGAAAGAGGTTACTTCTTTCACTTATCTAGGGAGCATTGTCTCAACCACAGGAGGAACGGACGAGGATGTCAAATCGAGAATCGGGAAGGCGAGAAACACATTCATCAACCTGAAACCAATCTGGAAATCTTCGTCACTCACCATCAACAACAAAATTCGGATTTTCAATACAAACGTCAAGTCAATTTTGCTTTACGGATCAGAAACTTGGCGGGTCACCAAGAATATTTTCAACAGGTTGCAGACCTTTATCAACAACTGTCTTCGCTCCATACTGAAGATTAGATGGCCAGAAAGAATCACAAACAAGAAGCTATGGGAACAAACGAAACAGGAACCAATCGCCCAACAAATATGCAGGAGAAAGTGGAGATGGATTGGACACTCGCTGAGGAGGCCGTTGAGTGACATCGCGCGTCAAGCCCTCGAGTGGAACCCGAAAGGGAAGCGGCGAGTGGGACGTCCAAGGGTGACATGGAGAAGATCGTGTGAAGAGGAGTTGAAACAGTATGGAATAACATGGACGCAAGTGAAAAGTACAGCAGAAGACAGAAGCAAGTGAAGACGTGCAGTTGAAGCCCTATGTTCCACTAGGAACCCAAGGGAACAATAATAATAAAATAATGTGTGTCCTTGTGTTCTGTCTTATGACCCATATTTCTTGTATTACCGTTGTGTTATATAGCTGATGATATCTTTATGAGTAAAACAAGTTTCAAGTATATAGACAAATTATTTTCATTGGACACTAGTACCTAGTGTGACGTGTCTAGTCCTTTCTTTGGTGCATACGGAATTCTATCAGTCAGGTTTGCATGAGTTCCTTCAAGGTTGCAGATACGCCCTGCTGACGAGTGCCAACTAGCACGAAATCTAGGTCCAAGGCTTCCTGCCGATTACCTCCAACTACCTAATATCATATAGATAAATTGCTTGTATATCACCTAACTAAATTATCAAACCACAACTCAATGCATTTTCACCATGGGTGTTTTTTTATTATTCAACTTTGTACAATCACTGTAAGGCATTTTCAAGAAAGACAGTTCATCTCGGATAAGTGTGAAGATGTATTTCTTTTCCTTGAACAATTAAAGAAGAAAGTTTTCAGATGAATCTAATGTAGAATACAAAGGAGGGGCGATTGAGAATTATCGCAAAATGTTTTGTAAATGCCTAATATTATCGATGATACCTACCTACGCCTTATTGCGCATACATTTGTGTGTATATAATTCACAGTGCGTATTTCTTCCCTTGATAACATTGAATCGTTTTCCTTAATTTATAATTATTATTATACCGTTGGGTTCCGAGTAGAACATAGGCCTTCAACAACACATCTCATCGGTGCAAAGTTCTATGTTTAAACTAGTCAGTCAGACACATCTCAGCTATGCCCTATTTTCTACAGTCCTCTTTTTCTGGCTGCGTGACTGCCCATAATCTCACCTCTTCTGCTTCACACAATCTCCTCCATGTTACCCTCATAAGGACGACCCACTCGTCCTTTCCGACTTCCGTTACACTCAAGGGACTGTCACGCGATGTTACACAACGGTCTCCACATTCTTCTACAGACTTACTGAGCGATTGGCCCTGCGTTGGTTTGTTCCCAGAGTTTCTTGTTACTTATGCTTTCTGGCCATTTGATCTTCAGTATGGAGCGAAGGTAGCTGTTGATAAAATTCTGCAACCTCTTGGAAATTCTTCTCGTGACGCACACGCCAAGTTTCTGATCCACATAGAAGAACTGACCGACTTGACCTTGGTGTCGAATATCCGAATGTTGTTCTTTATGCTGAGTGTGGAAGATTTCCAAACTGGTTTCAGGTTGATGAAGGCGTATCCTGCCTTTCCGATTCTGACTTTGACATCTTCATCCGTTCCACCCGCAGTTGAAACGATGCTTCCTAGATAAGTGAAGGAGCTAACCTCTGTTAAATATATCCCGTTGATGGTGATTGGTACTGCTTGTTGTTGTTGTTGCGGTTCGTTGGTTATTTTCATCACCTCCGTCTTCTCTGTGTTCACCTGCAGTCCTATCTTCGCTGCCTCTTCAGCCAGTTTGTTGGTTTTCGCCTGCCTCTAGGTTTTCTAGTTTGTGTGACATTAGACATATATCATCTGCGAAATCCAGATCTTCTCGAGTTTTCTTATCGGTCGTCCAGTGCATTCCTGTCTTCTCACTCCCCACGCACAGTCTGACGCATAATCCAGTCCACCACAATTAAGAATATCATCGGTGATAATAGGCAGCCAGTTTGTCTTACTCCAGTATTCACTTCATCGTCTTCATTGAGTTTTCTGTTGTGGATCGCCTGACACGTGCCACTGTCATATAGCCAGCTGTTGAATAAGGTTGACAAAGACTTGGGCACTGCACGCCGTAGTGTTCAAGCTGTTTCCAAATTACTTCACAGTCAGCGCTGTCGAAGGCCTCTCGAAAGTGGATGAATTTGAGATAGAGATAGATTTGACTGGCATTCTATGCTCTGTCCGATGTTGATGCGTAGAGTTTCAACTTCAACCATTACGTGATTTGCCATTCCTGAATCCAACCTGTCCCATTTGGAGTTCTTCGCCTTTAATTCTCTACAGGATGACGCAAATTCGCATTTTACTTGGCGTGGATAAGAGCATTATTCCACGCCAGTTCTTGCAGAGGCCTACGTCGCCCTTCTTTGGTGGTTTGACAAGGTAGCCGTCCCTCTAATCTTCCTTACTTTCAAACCATTTGCAATAGTAGCATCAGCTTTCTATAGCTTGGTTTCTCCTAAATTATTAACCTCACGGTTTTGCGCTTGACCATTTTTCCATACAGGTTTAGAATACTTTTGTATGCATTTAAGATGACTTTTTGGAAATATGTGGGAGCAGAATTTAACGCCTTGGGAAATTTCGATAGAACATCTCATGCGAATATTTCCTATTCTGATGCAATATGCACGTATACATTGAAGGATACAATAAAGAAAGAAACACATGAAAATGTTTTATTTATGAAAGTTTAAATATCTCAATGTGGCAAATTGCACATAAGTGCAATAGTTGGTAGGGCTGAACGACTAGTTGAATGGAATTCAATGAAATATTTGAGGATTTCGGTTCTCATACCTCTCTGTCATCTAACCGAGGTTTTCAGTTGCATTACATTCATTGCCATATTGTGTGTAGTTGCTAGCTGTTTCTTTGTATTTTTAACATTATGTAGAACTGATCACTCACGATATCTCAGCAAGTACATTTATTCACTGAAGAGTAATCCAAAGGTCACATTTGGGAGAGTTCATAATGCAGTTGTCTAATATCAGATACAATTTACCCTTATTGCACTCAACCTGTTTGACTTCACTAATCCTAGCTAGTCACTATCGTATATTATTTATTATTCGTTAGGGTTTCGAGTGGAATATATTTGGCTTCAGTAGCACATCTTCATTTCACCGTGTTTTGTGCATGTTTTATTTTGACTCTATGGACGCTGATTAACTTCGATTTCCTTCTCACACTACCTGCTCCATGTCATCTTCGAAAGGCGAATTCGTCTTCCCCTATCAGGATTCCACTGGAGCGCTTGACATGTGATATAACTGAAAAGTTTCCTCAGAGTGTGTCCAATCTATCTCGATTTCCTTCTGCATAGTTTTTGGATGATAAGTTTTTGTTTGTTTATGTGTTACCAGAGTACCCTGTTGTTTGTTTATCATATCTGGTAGGCCATCTGGAGCGGAGGCGTCTATTGGGGAATAATACTGCTAACTGGTGCTTCAAATCTTTTCGTTGTGAATGACTCAGGTTTTTTCATCCCTAAATATTGTAAGAAACAGAACTATTTTTAATAAAATAGGCGATTCTATTTTTAGAAAGTGATACAATGTGTTTATAAGTGTTGTCTCCTTGTTTATTATTTATAAAGAGTTGACTGGTTCCATGAATTTTATAAACTGTCATCCTATGTTCGCTTGGATCGTTTTCCAAATTCACAAATTCGTTCAGCTGAACTTATAATAGAACATCGTACTGATGAACATATGATATCTTCACATTCATCAAGTAAGTATTTTTCGAAAGGTTTCCATTTCAATATTTCAGTACAACAGTACGTCAAGATGTCATATTCACTTACGTGTGTTGTCAATTAATTGTATTGATCAAAGTGCTATTATCTGAATTAACTGGGTTTTCTTGATGTAGAAATCGCCTTGATGGAGGAATAATGCTGAAGTATTCTCCGTGCTGGTATTTTTCAAAGCGACACTTATAATGACATTCTAGTTATAATTTAATGTGTAGTTTGAAAGATTTTGTAGACTGCTATTTCTTCTTGGACTGTTAGTACAAATCTCGTCTACATAGTTGGCTAATTAGTTCAAATATTTGTATATCTATTGCTGAAACAATCTGCTCTTTTTCCTTGATTAGTGATTTGAAACAAGCAGCCAGTTTTACTTTCAATGGTTGGATGAGTTAGTTAGATGATTTTTGTCGTCTGTTTTCTTCTCATAGACCAGCTATGTAGATGTTTTGACGTTAGCGTAGTCAACTTAAAACACTGTCATCCTATGGAGTTTCCGACAGCAAGTTTTCTCTCTGAATAAGGTATGGTTTGTTTATCGGAATAGTCAAAATGTTAATATTAGTGGTTGAAGCGTACTTATTCAGATAGTTAAAGGTTGATACTAGTGGCTCAGATGCACTAAATTTTCATAATCTTTATACCGTTTTTTATTTATGAGATTTATTGTGTATGCACATTTTTCTTTATTTGAAAACTTTCCAATTTTTGTGTGTACTGTTATATCGCTAAATGGAGAGACTTGATGGGATTCAGTTTTGTTAACTTTACTCTGTCTCTGTTAACAGAAATCATGTTGATGCTTGCAAGTTGTAAGCAGGTGAACAGAATTCAACGAAATAAATGTTGGCCTCATATGATTCTGCATTAACTTTACTTCATTGACCTTCTTCTCATACATATTTTTTTCTTTTACTCATCAGGTAGAAATATAGAGTAGTCATCACGTTGGTAGATTCGATTAAACTGTGCGTCCTAAGCAACGGAAAAAAAAGTGTTATTTGTAGTTATAAGTATCCAGACCATAGACCATATTATTTGTACCGATCTTGAATATATGGTTTATTAACATAAGCATTTACACTCAATACAATACTTGTAAAATTGCTATAGTGCAACTGTGAAATGTGACAGATTAAACAGTAGTATATATACATTCGATACTAAGTAAACTGGTATGAATTTTTTGTCTGTTAGTTCAACTCTGTGGCGATCGGTTTAAGACAGATTTTTATATTCAGTTAGTGAACTTGACCATCAACTTTACTCGTCCAGACGAGCGTTGAGTTTTGTGCATTTCACAATGAGATTAGATGACTGCTAGACTTCATTCAAGAGGTCTGTTTGCCTTCATCTTGTATTCAGTATGCTGTCAAACATTCGAATGCAAGATTTTCATTGCGTGATGTTACCAAGTTACATGTGTATACTGAACTGTCGGGTTCCTGTATGATGGCTTCTCATCATTTTAAGTCTTTTAAACACACTGAAAAGTATTAAAATGTAATCACATCGTTTTACCCATCTATATATTTATGTGCTCATGTCAAAGATGTACCAATGTGCAATCGAATATGTTCAAATAATACTCTTGAAAAACAACAGACTGCTCAATTCACCTGTCCTACAATATCTGCGATGCCTATGGATTTAGGACATTCAATATGCGCTACACATTCATTTCCTAGTTTCACTGATGTGTCGAATTTTGATTGGACAACTAGACAAAACAGTATATTATGCAAAATGCATCACGACAATTCATCCGCTAATGAAACACTTGATCATTCGAATAAAACAGAAGTAAGTAAAACAAAAAAATGGAGAAGTGGAAAAAGCCAATTGTCAATAAATACTAAAAAGAAGAAACATGAGGAAAATGGAAAAAAACTTGGCGATGATGGTGGTGGTGATGATGAAGACGACGATGAAGATGAATCCAGCATAGATAGGTAATTAGATTCTCTGTCATTTCCTCACCAACCAATTGTTAGTCTTTCTGTTATTTCTCTTCCATGTTCGATTTTGCGTTAATTGCCGTAGTGTACTGAAGACCACATAAAATTAAGTGGTCTGCACACAGAAGAGTACAGTTAATAAGTGTCCTAACATATACCTGCTTACTTGTTGACTAGCCTAGTCAACATTCAGCAGTATTTGTGACATTGGCTTCTAAGTTAGATCAATTAGTTTAGATCCAGAAGCAGACAAAAGAAATAACTTGTTATACATTTGGAGCGCAATAATGAGTTTCGGAGAAGAAACTTCTCATTTGAGTGCAGAGTTCGCTTGATTTCACTTTCAGCATATACTTTGAGGTATTTCAGCATAGGATACAAATCGTTTAAGGGTGTTCTGTAAAGTTTTCGTGATAATTTTGGGAGGTGTCATAGTTGTCTCTCTCTCACTCTCTCTCGTAGATGGCCCAAACAACAAAATATTATGTAGCTCATTGTATTTATAAGATGTACTATAAGTACATGATCAGTCTCTTATGTTGTATGCATTTGTTTCCAGATAATGAAGTACTTTTTGTATAGCATAAAGCCATTACTAGTTTCTTGCCTACCTCTTATCCTGTAAACTGTGTTGAATCTCAACTGACTATTATACAATGCCTAATTTCCTATTATCTTAATTTTATCCCAGTGATGACGAGGAATCGATGGAAAATTGTATTAACATCTTTCCACCTGGTATAGATATCTTGCGTATATCAACCGACTCTGATCTTTCTCCGTCGAAGTTAAGGCGTTCAATCGATCATAATGGTGAGAGTAAAGGTTGTTCTACAAGTTATTCCTACCTAATGAGTACGTCAAAGCGTCAGAAACGAAAGCCTCCAATAGCAGTTGGGCAGTTGACGAAATCGAAACTAGATTCTGAACAAATCTACTCAAACAGTCTTTCATTATCTCAGACCACAACAAATACATCATTAAGGAATTTGTATGAGGGTATGTGTAATGGTAGTTATTTTAAAATTATGGTTTTGATGAGTAAAGCATTACAATTTACACAGATTACTCATCAGTATACTTTCAGCATGAAATTCTCGATATTGGTACTGATAAAAGTTCACTGGTCAAATAGTATGATTATTGCAGTATATCTAACACTGCATTTATTTTCATTTTCCAGCCTATTACCGACTGGATAGCTGCTAGTTTAACGCGGTAGCCGGGTATGCATATCAAAATGAGCCGATAAACTCCAACGGTTAAATTGAATGTTCGGACAGATCTTCTGTTGGCAGGAAGATCTGTAGGTTAGTGGTTGAACTGAATCAAGTTACCGTCATAGTTTTAATCACTTGGTGTATTGTGAGTGTCTCAGGTCAACGCACTTCTGGCAGACAAGAGTGTGGCAGCTGCATGGTGTTTCCCTTAGAACAACCAGCAAATCAACTTTGCTGCCTTTCGGCTCAGAGGGTTTAGAATGGATCTTATCCTAAAGATACTTCCCGACTCAACCTACTGCAGTCCTTAGTTGGTGAAGTCTTCTATACAAATGAGACTCCAAAAACCGTATCTGCAAGCGGACCCTGTGTGACCGGCCTCCAGCAAATGTCAGCTGAGCACTTTAGTCATGCAACATTAATGCGTTTCCTCTCAAGGTCCACGACAATTCGTTTCATTAATGCCTAAGCTGCAGTTGATTTGGAATCACTACGGTATTTATTCAACGCATGGCATACTCTATCATCACTAATAGGTATAGATTACCACTGGATTTTTGAGGGGAGATTATCATGCATTTTACCGACGTCGATTGCAGTGGCAGTCAAATGTACTGGACTCAGTTGGTACTATGACTAGGCGAGGGCATGCTTTCGAATATCGTCTCTCATGCTTGAACAGTAAGCAATTTGATCAGCAAGATCTTAGGTTTTTGTGATACCTGTAGGATGATTTGGTGGCATTCTTGAACCAGTTCTTTCTGCTGAAAGTAAATGCCTAGCGTTCCAATCCGAATAGCATTGATTTAAACCTGTATTGCTCCTAAACAACAGTGAAGGCATTTTCGCTTCGGTGATTTCGTCCTGTTGGTATCTGTCAGAAATCTGATCGCAGGTCGAAAACTGTAAACAACTGGATGGGGTTCATTCATGAATTAAGAAGTAGAAAAGACTCCTCAACAGTCAAAGAACTCCATAGGCTTCTGCAGTATTCTGTCAGACTTGCTGTAGTGAGTGCGGAAATCTCTTTTCTCGATGATATTTGCAATTCGCCAATGCTTTGTGGACGTAACTACCAAGCAGTGCATGCCCCAGTTTCAATATTATTGTCATATGTGATTCACATAGAACTATTCTGTTTCTCGTCACATTCAGGTCACAAATTCATCTTGGTGATTTTCTCTATTGCTTCTTCTGCTCTACAGATTATCTTCGTACTGATTTTACCAAACAGCCAGAAAGAATCGATAAATATCATGAATATGACTTGACATCTCCTAACCCCCTATCATCCATATCAGTAGACAAGGATTCATTGGAAGTGTATACGGTTAGTTTCCCGTTTCTCCTGTCTTCTTATTCCTTGTTTTTGCTTCTAGTTGTTTTTTTGAAGAGTTTAATGCACTTACTATTTTGTTATCGAACTGCTGATCATATAATTCATCCTAATATACTGAACACCTCAACCGACTTCGAAACTGCTTAATTACTAGTTGTCGTCCACTTCATGTGTATTCCCATGTGTATATGTGTAAAGATCAGTTTCCATAGATTCACGAAAATTCCAAAGGAGTAAACGTGAACTAAGCTTGGGCGTGCAGTGTAACATTCCATTATATACATACATATACACATATATATATATATTTCAGGACTTAATCATTGAAGCATGCTCTCCATTCGTCTAATCATTCGACTGTGTGAAACAATCGGTTGTGGTTTCGAATCCACCTTTACTTAATTTGATGTAGGCAACCAGATAGTATTATACGCCTTTGTTGGGCTGCTATATTTTGACTGAATTTGAGTACACGTATATCTTAATACTTCTTCTCGTTTATAATTGTGTGCTATTGTTGTGCTTACTCGACACAAACAACGTAAATCAGAAGACACTTGAGAAGGTGTAGGAATGTGTATTCTTGCCGTAATCAAAATTCAAAAGTTGAGCGAGTAGAAATGTATCAATTGTTAATTGGAAAGAGTAGCAATCGTGTATGCACCACGTGCCAACGACATTTGATAGAATCGGGACTGACCTAAGCCCAGGCTTGACTTGAGGACGTCAGATAGCACTACGACGATGACTGTCCACAAAATGGATGTAATCTTGGCCATGGTAGAGAAGATAGTCTTCATTATCGGATCTGCTGCGTTGTAGTCCCGACTGATCGCCTAGTCGACTCATCTGTGGCCCTAGATGTCCGATCTGCGCATTCAGGTTTCCAGCTAGCACTACAATATCTGCTTCACACGCATGCTTCAGAAGCTCACTCTGCTGATAGTGAGTAATGAGTAATGCAGCTTCATCTCTAGCGCTTGGGGTAACACTGGCAGCAAATAACATAGACAGTGAGGTCGTAGGGTCCTCGGAGTAGCTCAGCTGATACACGCCATTTGAACTTGCAAAGTGAGAAGATATTCCAAACCCTTTACTGGAATCTTGTATGTTGGTCTGTGATATACAGCAAACATTCACAATGAGGCTCCCTAGGGTTCTGGTCAGACCTGCTTATTGTCCGATTTGGATTCATGTGCAAACATTGTAGGTGGCAAGCTTGAAATCGACACAAGTATTCAGATACGCCAGTGGATGCTGACTTTCTCAAGGCAGCTAACTAGCAATTCGAAACAGTATTGATAGGCTGAGATTTCATACAATGGCGAAAGACTGACAAATGTGAAGATACTCGAAGTTGGAAGTGTGATGAAAATTTAAAAAAGACAGAACATATTCATAAATAAAGTGGAAAGGGGTTAAGTTATTAAAAATACGATTAGAGAAGTAGTTTATGGTAGTAAGCACGCGAGTACAGTTCCCCATTGATGATTGTTTCATAATTTGTGCAAGAGCTGAGATGTTGCCCAGACACTCAGTTCAAAACAGGTGATAGCCTTATGGGATCACTCCTTGAGCCACTGACTTGAATTCTGATCCAGAAGGCTGCACATTTGTGTTTATATGGTTGTTGATGACCAGAAGAAGTTTGTACGCCATTCATATGCTGAAGCCCATGTGTTTAATGCGTATTCGAATCAGGCTTCTCCAGCTTTTCTAGTTGGACCTCCATATCCAACAGTCCTGTTATAAGCGCCAAACACGTGTACTCCTCCTTTTACTTTTGTGAAGAACGCTCCCGCCATGTGAAGGCAGTGGACAAGACTTACCTAGCAGACGCTACGAATGCATGACGACATGACAACAGTTCTGCCTTAAAAATAAGAAGACAGTCACATTGTGTCCTATTTTTCAGTGTTTGCTGAAATCATCTTGCTAAGTAAAGATGCCGAAGGAATAGAGTCAAAAGCAGCAGTTAAATCTAAAAAATTATCTCAAAAACCTTGCACTTTGATGAAGACCTGAATCAATATTGTATTGGAGTACAACGATAGCATCTAATATGCTTCTGCTTCATTTGTAGGTGAACTGCTTGGAGTCATTAAAATATTTCAAAGTAGGTCTAAGAACATGCAAGAGAAGTTTCACCATAGTTATCATCACACTTCCAACTTCGAGTATCTTCACATTTGTCAGTCTTTCGCCATCGTATGAAATCTCAGCCTATCAATACTGTTTCGAATTGCTAGTTAGCTGCCTTGAGAAAGTCAGCATCCACTGGCGTATCTGAATACTTGTGTCGATTTCAAGCTTGCCACCTACAATGTTTGGACATGAATCCAAATCGGACAATAAGCAGGTCTGACCAGAACCCTAGGAAGCCTCATTGTGAATGTTTGCTGTATATCACAGACCAACATACAAGATTCCAGTAAAGGGTTTGGAATATCTTCTCACTTTGCAAGTTCAAATGGCGTGTATCAGCTGAGCTACTCCGAGGACCCTACGACCTCACTGTCTATGTTATTTGCTGTCAGTGTTACCCCAAGCGCTAGAGATGAAGCTGCATTACTCATTACTCACTATCAGCAGAGTGAGCTTCTGAAGCATGCGTGTGAAGCAGATATTGTAGTGCTAGCTGGAAACCTGAATGCGCAGATCGGACATCTAGGGCCACAGATGAGTCGACTAGGCGATCAGTCGGGACTACAACGCAGCAGATCCGATAATGAGGACTATCTTCTCTACCATGGCCAAGATTACATCCTTTTTGTGGACAGTCATCGTCGTAGTGCTATCTGACGTCCTCAAGTCAAGCCTGGGCTTAGGTCAGTCCCAATTCTATCAAATGTCGTTGGCACGTGGTGCATACACGATTGCTACTCTTTCCAAAACATGTTTGCATTTCGATCATGGCGTAGCGTGTACCGGATTCATCTTGCAGTGCAGTGGAGATTATAAATGCCGTCCTGAAGAGCTCGACGTAAGTAAACTAGTAGCACCTGTTGCCTTTGTGGAGTACCAAACCAAGTCAGAATCAAGGCTAGTTAGTAACCCTCTCCCTAGATAGTATAAACGAACATTGGTTGCATTTACAAGATACTATGAAAATGGAGAATAAAGCCGATTGCTGACTAAGAGAATGCTCCACTACTACTGTGTTTCTTCAAGTCCCTTGCAACTTTCTGACTTACTCCGATCCGTTCTGAAGAAAAGCAGGTATAGAAACATGCTCAATGCTGTCACGCTTAAGACTAAGAGGTGCTTCCGTAAAGACCGCGAGGCCTGGTAGTCAAAACTTGCTTGTGAAATGAAATCAGTGGCTGCATTTGGAAACAGTCAGAAGCTCTTCCGGCTCATATGAGTCAACAAAAGCAAGGAGAATGAAATCAGACAGTCTATGAGGCAGATAGTACGCCGGTTAACAACCTGAAGAGATGCCTGTTTAGAGCACTTTGAGAAACAGTTTATCTGACCCTCAGTGCCAGTGTCAAAATTAGTTAATCACAGTGCTTTGTGGTCTGTAAACAGAGTTTCACCAAAAAAGCGGAGATTAAAAGAGAACTACAAATGTTAAAACGCTGTAAAGTCCAGAAAATTCACCCACCCTTTGTTTTAAAGAAAGTGCTGAGACTTTGGTCAGGAACTGACTGCATTGTTCAGGGAAGTATTAGAGAGTTAGAACGTTTCACCAGTGTGGAATGAAGCAATTATCATGCCCATCTTCAAAAACGCTGAGTAATTCATATGACAATCATGGGGTTAATAGACCGTTACTGGTCACATATAAAATACCGACTGTTATCTTGCTTCTTGGGCTGTGTAAAACACATGAAAAATCGGATGGATTAGAAAAAACGCAGGCTGGGCTTCATCAATGTCATCGGTGCGTTGATCACGTGTTCAACCCTCGTTAGTCATTCATTTTGCAGGCCAACAGTCGTTGTGTTTCTTTAATTGAAGTATAAAACTGTTCCTTAGAACTATTTACTAGGGTAAAGTGTTCGTGAGAAGTTTCGTGACATCCTGAAACCCTTGCACAGAAAAAACAAGGCATCATTGATGCATGTAACCAGGTAGCATCGATGTGCTCAACCAGCAGTGGGGTTAGACAGAATTGCTCAGTATGGTCATTTCTCTTCAACTTTGCCAGCGACGACATTCTGAGGAATGTGCGTGGTGGTCCAGGTCCGTCTCGTGAAAAAAGATTTCTCGACATTGAGTATGTGAACGATACCGTCTTAGTGTACGATAAAATACAAGCTACCGAAATTGTACTTAATCCATTGTCAGTCAGTGTCTGTAATAATAATAATAATAATAATAATAATAATAATAATAATAATAATAATAATAATAATAATAATTTACTTTATTCCAAAAACAGTACTTGTGATACAGAATGGAATTTTCAGAATTAATCACACAGAAAATTTTTCTACATTTACAATAGGGTTAATATAAAAAAAATAAAAAACATGCAGCATATAAAATGGAAATAATAATAATGATAGCAGCTAAAGTAATGATAATAATACAAGTGGAAATTGCCGTGGGCTTGTTTCACACAGTATTGTCGATGCGGTATACAAATCCTTGCATGATTAAAAATATTGAATATGATGTTCTCTTTACATGATATGGTGAGGGAAAAAACAAAGATTACAGCAGTCATAGAGATAAGTTGGTGTTTGCAGTTATGAAAGTGAAAACAAAAATCAACAGGACCATAAATATAATAGAAATAATAAAAGTAAAACTTGAAGGTATATAAAGATGGATGGAGGAGGTTGTTTATTTACTAGATGAAAAAAGGTTAGTCAATTCTTGTCTGACGCTATTTTCATCACATAAAATACGTGCCAAGTATGGTATCATAGAATTTTTATACTTAGACGTGCGAGCATACAGTTTTCTGAAGTTACTTCTTGTTCTACCTGAGGAGATGCAAGGTGAAAGCTGAGGGTGAAGTGGATGCTCCAAGTCAGACA